CCTGGCTGATAACAAATGAGAAGTCTGGCACAAAGGGCAGGCCCCAATAGGGGATCAAATGAGGCATCTTCAACAAAAGATCTACAACTAGAATAGTGACTAGTCCCTTGACAAGTCATGGGTCAATAATAAAATTCAACTGTGTCCCAAGTCACAGTTGTGGAATGGGGTTGGCAGAAAGGTTGCAACAAATGCCTTACACAGTGGCAAGTGTGACAAGATGCATAGGTCTTGACAAAGTACCATATATCTCAAAGGAGAAAGTGGGTAGTCTTCAGAACTCTAAAACAACCCAGAAGGCTTGCTGTTGTGGCAAACGTTCAGTATGTCTTCCATCAGGGAAGATGGAATGTCTAGCCTGCAGTTGTGCAATTCTCCACATTCCCAAGAAAGGGGAGAAAAAGAATCCCAGCAGACTGGGCTAGAAAGAATTAACAGATACACAAGAATTCAGGAACTTCCCATAAGGAATTTTAGTATGAAAAACTTAAGAAGCTAATTAAAGTATTCCAGTGACTGATGAGTCCCATATATAGTGAATTTACTTTTTTATCTTTCTTCTGTCCATACTATGCAATGGGTGTACAAGCCTCTTTTTTGAATGTGAGGCCTGGTTTCCATCTGTTTCTTGTTTTGGTAATAGCCAGATTGATATCAAGTTGTATCCCTCTAATGATATGAGAACTAACTCCCGTAAGACAATATGGTACCCACATGTACCATGGACATTTTTCTTGATGCCTGCCAGAATCCCTGGCCCACCTGATTTTTATTCTTTTAAAGTTAAATGAGATGCAGCAAGGGGAGGGATAAAACCCGCTCCTTTCTGTCTGAGGTAATCCCAAACATCCCTTGATACTGCCAACACATCTATTTGCATCTGAAAAACAAAAATGCTTTTTAATGCCACAGTGAACAAATGCAAAAAGAATTCCTTGCACTACTCATATACTGCAGGAAACTGAAACTCACTGCAAGAGAATGTATGCAGACTTTTACTCACAAGAGTAATAATATGCTTTTAATTTAACTGAAAAAGAAAGAATTGAAAGCTCATTTGATTTTTATTCCAGGTCAGCATCCTCCTTGCATCAGTAGAAACAATTCTTCAGTTACTAATAAAGATTGCTGACTCCAGATATTATACTCACATAATGAAATTATACAGTTGGTAACAAAGGTGCTATTTGCAGAAATCATGGCTTCATCTAAACTTTAGAATCAGGTTATCTTTGTTGTAGACCGCTAACCTTTTATACCCCACATATTTTTCAGTGTGTTCTACAAACCCACATACAAGAGAATCATCATGTTCCCTTTGTCCTGTTGCGGTCTTTATAAGATAAACCAACAACCACCCTTTTGGATAACTATTAGTCATTCAACTTTTCTGCACTGAAATACTGAACTGCTTGTCTCCTATGCGTAAACTAGCTGGAAATGAAGCCGTTCTTAAGAAAACCGTTTCAGAATTTCAACCCCTTCCTTTGACGATGGCCTGATGTTCTATCTGGACCACATTTACCATGGCCCCTGACTGGAGGATTCCTCTGTTTCTTTAACCCCTTCTGGACCAAGAAAGTAAAAATACACCACAGTCCCTCTCACTTGGGCTAAAATGGAAAAATGGCAGAACTCTAATCAATTTCATCTTCTTAAAAAAAATTATAATCAGGTCCATTTCTTCATTGTACCATTAGTGAGCTTGTAAAAAGAAAAAAAGCCTAGCTTCTCGCTGTTCCATGATGAACTCATACATTGAAATGAAGCACAACAGATGATCAGATACCACTTGAGCCTGTACAAGTCAGAAAATGCTACTAGCAGAAACGGTTGGAGGTTGCCTTTCAGGTCAGTTGGGTGAAAGTAGAATACGTTATACGTTCCTTTCCGTGAGAAATAGTCAATGGCCTGTACTCATACTGGGGCAATATGGCTCAGCCAAAACAGAATCCAAGCATTTTAAAACTCTTGCTCATGGATGAGACTTCCAGGGAAGAAATGGTGGACTGAAGACAGCTCTGCGAAAAGCGGAACAGACGACTGCAGTGCAATGAAGAGCGGGCAAGTAGACTGGCTCTTTGATAATTCCTCTCCAGTTTAGGAGAGGACTTGAAATTATCCACAAGTACTCCAGATTGTTGCTCCTCATGAGGAGAATGCAAGACAGTGGTCTTCAGGTTTAGAGCTCTGGGAGACGAAGGAATAGCCATCTTGCTCAAAATGTGGTTGGCGCCTTTGAAAGGACACTGGGTTTGCATACTTCCTTTTCTAATCACTTTTGAAAATTGCTTGTTAACTGCTTTTCAGCTATTATGAACCTTTGGACTGACAAGCTTTGCAGCACTGGGTGAGTTTCCTTCGATCCTTAGCAAAAGAAGTTTTAAATACAAATTTAAGAACTTAAAAAAAATATTTTTGGCATAAACAGCAAAAGGGGGATTAAAACTTTGATTTTAGAAAGTTACAAATGGACTAAGGGTCCATATAAATTTGAAATAAGATTTTGG